TTACATAGTATAGACTTACTGTCTGTTTTCTATATTACTGCTGTTTATATAGTATAGACTTACTGTCTGTTTTCTATATTACTGCTGTTTATATAGTATAGACTTATTGTGTTTTCTATATTACTGCTGTTTATATAGTATAGACTTACTGTCTGTTTTCTATATTACTACTGTTTATATAGTATAAACTTATTGTCTGTTTTCTATATTACTACTGTTTATATAGTATAGACTTATTGTGTTTTCTATATTACTGCTGTTTATATAGTATAAACTTATTGTTTGGTTTCTCTATTACCGCTCCTTGTTATTCATTTCAAGTTTATAGAGGTCGACTTTTCTGGTTTATGTAGTTTATTTCTGTCACGTGGAGTTCTAAATAAAAAATCAAAACAACGCTGCACACGACTATTTGTGCTAGCAGTCTGTAATTTTGTACTGATAAACTAGAGGGAAAGCAACCAGTCAACATTACCCACGTGCTAGCAGTCAGTCTATAATTTTGCACTGATAAACTAGAGGGAAAGCAACCAGTCAACACTACCCACGTACTAGCAGTCTATAATGCACTGATAAACTAGAGGGAATGCAACCAATCAACGTTATCCACGTGTTAGCAGTCAGTCTATAATTTTGCACTGATAAACTAGAGGGAAAGGAACTAATCAACATTACCCACGTACTAGCAGTCTATAATGTACTGATAAACTAGAGGGAATGCAACCAATCAACGTTACCCACGTGTTAGCAGTCAGTCTATAATTTTGCACTGATAAACTAGAGAGAAAGGAACTAGTCAACATTACCCACGTGCCAGCAGTCTATAATTTTGCACTGATAAACTAGAGGAAAGCAACCAGTCAACACTACCCACGTACTAGCAGTCTATAATGCACTGATAAACTAGAGGGAATGCAACCAATCAACGTTATCCACGTGTTAGCAGTCAGTCTATAAGTTTGCACTGATAAACTAGAGGGAAAGGAACTAGTCAACATTACCCACGTGCCAGCAGTCTATAATTTTGTACCGATAAACCAGAGGGAAAGTAACTAGTCAACATTACCCACGTGCTAGCAGTCTATAATTTTGTGCTGATAAACCAGAGGGAAAGGAACTAGTCAACATTACCCACGTGCCAGCAGTCTATAATTTTGTACCGATAAACTAGAGGGAAAGGAACTAGTCAACATTACCCACGTGCCAGCAGTCTATAATTTTGTACCGATAAACTAGAGGGAAAGGAACTAGTCAACATTACCCACCGCTAACTCTTGAGCCACTCTAACCGTATATTAGGACTTCACCGTCACTTTCATAGAACAAACTACGGCCCAATAGAGAGGAGAGCGATTTCTTTTCTTATCTCTGGGGTCCGTTTTATCTCACCATATTTATTTTGGAATACAAGATACACAGTCTAACACTTTTACCATCTAGACTAAAGGAAAGGCGGCCATTCAGTAACGCCCACCGTCAACTTTTGTCTTACTAAATAGTGTGATTTGACCGTCACTCACATATCATAATAGTTTATGATCAATGGTAGGCTGCTGCTAATTGTCTATAAAATAATAGTTAGCATTCTGTTAATTTTATCCTTATAGTAAAATTGTTTTAAAACACTTTTATGTTGAAACTGTACTATTTTCATAGGTATGTTTTGTAAATCGTATAGAAGCGCCTCCTGGAGACCATCTTCTTACTAAAGATATTAAACGTTTTCATTTATTCAAATCGTTTACAGTTTTCTTTCTCTCTCTCTCTCTCTGGTTTCTTAAAGGTACCTCCGGAACGTTAGTATAAATACGCCACAGGACCAGTCTAATGTGGAGTTCAATATTGATGGCACCCTGAAGTACGTTAAGCTTGAAGTTGTCAACTTAAACAGAAGAAAAATGTGGGAGAAGGTAGTTAATTTTTTTTTTCACTTAAGTATTAGCACAACTAAAGTTACTGACTGATTTGTTACACTTATCAGCTTGAAGACCTGACTTAAGTGACACAGCGGTGGACAGAGCATAGATAGCCTATTGCGTAGCTTTGTGCTTAATTACAAATAAACAAACAAAACCTGACCGAATAATGTGAAATGAAAAAAAATGATAAATTTTGTTATCCATTTTAATTTCTTACCTGTCTGTTGATTAAGTTTTAGCTTTAAACGAGTTAATAGTTTTAATGACATTTCTTTACGGAGAACAAAATGAGACTGAAAATGGACGAACAAATGTGTCAAAATTAGTTTTTCTAATTCCGACCCTTCTGTTAGTTTGTCACATTTTACTGTGTTTCTTCCACCAACATTTGACGTATGTGTTATTTCCTTCTGTAAATCTTACAAACCAGTTCAAATAAGCACTACATTTACCCGAATACTTAGTATATGATAATGAATAATTGGTAATAAATAATATGAATTTAAACAGAACGTCTAACATTACAACCATGAGTGTGTGCAAGCATAGGCACGATTCTGTTGTGTAACGCCTCCTTTCCTTTAGGTGTTAAGATGAGCACAGTTCTGTTGAATAATGCCCCTTCCCTGTAGGTGTTAAGATTAACACAGTTTTGTTGTGTAACGCCCCCTTAACTTTAGGTGTTAAGATGAGCACATTTCTGTTGTGTAACGCCCCCTTTTCTTTAGGTGTTAAGATTAACACAGTTTTGTTGTGTAACGCCCCTTAACTTTAGGTGTTAAGATTAACACAGTTCTATTGTGTTATCGTTATAACAGGTAGGTGGATAACTCTATGTACGAATGTTCAAATATGACAGTAATGGATATTCAATAAACATCATTATATTTTACTTGCTCTACTTCTGTTGGTCAGACTATCTGAACTCTGTTACAAAAAAACAACAACAATAAAAAACCTAACTTTTCGTAATCTTTTCGTTCCATAACTTCATCAGGTCGGTTCTTGGACAGAAGGTGGACTAGAAATCAAAGATATCGTCTGGCCGGGTGACTCCCCAGTGCCACCTCCAGGTGTTCCAGAGAAGTTTAATTTAAAGATCACGTTTATGGAAGAACCACCCTATGTGAATATATTTCCAATGGACAGCGAAACAGGAGAGTGTAAAGCCAGTAGATCCGTCCGATGTAGAATTGTTCCTGATACCCAACTTACAGAGTAAACATTGGATAATTGGTTACATCACTATATCACACGTGCTCTGGTCTATATGAAAATATCAAACCTTAGCGGAGTAAAAACTGGATACTTGGTTACATCACTATAACACGTGCCCTGGTCTATATGAAAATATCAAACCTTAGCAGAGTAAAAACTGGATACTTGGTTACATCACTATAACACGTACTCTGGTCTATATGAAAATATCAAACCTTAGCAGAGTAAACATTGGATACTTGGTTACATCACTATAACACATGCTCTGGTCTACATGAAAATATCAAACCTAAGCAGAGTAAGAACTGGATACTTGGTTACATCACTATAACACGTGCCCTGGTCTATATGAAAATATCAAACCTTAGCAGAGTAAAAACTGGATACTTGATAACATCACTATAACACGTGCCCTGGTCTATATGAAAATATCAAACCTTAGCAGAGTAAACATTGGATACTTGGTTACATCACTATAACACGTGCTCTGGTCTATATGAAAATATCAAACCTTAGCAGAGTAAACATTGGATACTTGATAACATCACTATAACACGTGCTATGATCTATATGAAAATATCAAACCTTAGCAGAGTAAAAACTAGATACTTGATAACATCACTATAACACGTGCTCTGGTCTATATGAAAATATCAAACCTTAGCAGAGTAAACATTGGATACTTGGTTACATCACTATAACACATGCTCTAGTCTATATGAAAATATCAAACCTTAGCAGAGTAAAAACTGGATACTTGATAACATCACTATAACACATGCTCTGGTCTATATGAAAATATCAAACCTTAGCAGAGTAAACATTGGATACTTGATAACATCACTATAACACGTGCTATGGTCTATATGAAAATATCAAACCTTAGCAGAGTAAAAACTAGATACTTGATAACATCACTATAACACGTGCTCTGGTCTATATGAAAATATCAAACCTTAGCAGAGTAAAAACTAGATACTTGATAACATCACTATAACACGTACTCTGGTCTATATGAAAATATCAAACCTTAGCAGAGTAAAAACTGGATACTTGATAACATCACTATAACACGTGCTCTGGTCTATATGAAAATATCAAACCTTAGCAGAGTAAACATTGGATACTTGGTAACATCACTATAACACGTGCTCTGGTCTACATGAAAATATCAAACCTTAGCAGAGAAAAAAATGGATACTTGGTTACATCACTATAACACGTGCCAAAATTTATATTTGTGTCCCTTAGTCAACATTACCAATTCCCTTTACAATCTTAAATATTTCAATCAGATCATCTCTAACTCTTCTGTTTTCCAAAGAGAACAATTTCACAGATCTTAATATCTCCTCATATGATAACCCCTCCATCCCAGGCACCATTCTAGAAACCCTCCTCTGAACCCTTTCCAACAATTTAATGTCCTTCCTAAGGTAAAGAGCCCAAGACTGAGCACATACTCCAAATGTGGCCTAACCAGTGACCTGTACAATGAAATTATAACCTCTTTAGACTTGTATTTTTGTAGATACAACCTAAAGTCCTATTTGTCCTACCATTAGCAACAGCACACTACTTGGATGGCTTTAGAGACTGATCGACTATTACACCAAGATCCCTTTCTTTCCAAATTATATTTATGATTCAAATTATGATAATTCACATGCATTATCTTGCCTTTATTATAATTAAAACCCATCTACCATTTCTTTGACCAACTCACTAAATGATCTAAATCCTTTTGTAAACCAGCAGCATCCTCTTCACAACTAGCAACACCAAAGACCTTAATATCGAAAATTTAAGTAATTTATTGACCATTTATTCATCTGTCACTGTAAATTAAAAATAACAAAGGTCCTAAAACTGAGCCCTGAGGTACCCCACTTGTGACATTAATCCAGTTTTACCGAACTCCATTTGTAACAACCATCTGCTTTCTTCCATCCAACTACTCTTCTATCCAATTAGCTAACTTATCCACCACACCATTAGAAAACATACAGTGATCTATACAAAAATATCAAACTTTAGTAGAGTGAAAACTGTGATTACACCACTAGAATACATACGGTGATCTATAAAAAAAATATAAAACTTTGGTAGAGTAAAACTACGAATACACCACTAGAATACATACGGTGATCTATACAAAAATGTATTCTAGTGGTGTAATCATAGTTTTTACGCTACTGAAATTTGATATTTATGTATATATCACTGTATGTATTCTAGTGGTGTAATCATAGTTTTTACGCTACTGAAATTTGATATTTATGTATAGATCACTGTATGTATTCTAGTGGTGTAATCACAGTTTTTCCGCTACTAAAGTTTGATATTTGTGTATTTTAGTGGTGTATTCATAGTTTTTACGCTACTAAAATTTAATATTTGTGTATTCTAATGGTGTATTCGTAGTTTTTACGCTACTAAAGTTTGATATATACAAATCACTGTATGTATTCTAATGGTGTAATCACACTTTTTACTTTAATGAAATTTGATATTTGTGTATTCTAGTGGTGTAATCATAGTTTTTACTTTATGTATTCTAGTGGTGTAATCATAGTTTTTACTTTATATATTGTAATACAGATTTATTACAGAGTTATGCTTCTTTTTTTAAGGGTTAATATGTCTGAAGCAATCCACGATCCACGATACTTTAAGTGCTGTTCTGGATTCTGTATAGACCTACTACAGAATTTCGCCGCTGACCTGGGATTCACATACGACTTGTTTCGTGTTTCCGATGGAACTTGGGGTGTACTAAACGTGAGTAATCTTTCTTCCATTGTCTAAGTAAGTATAAGTTTCAATTTTTAATATTTGGATATTTTATGTTTCAAAGGAGTTCATGTAATCTACGTTGTTTTTATTGTAAAGATGGTGGTTAACTGATTTTAAATGACGAAGAACGTTGTATATTTAATTGTATTGTTGCTTGACATTATTCGTTTCAAACGTTTAACTCGGTTGTTGTTAATTTACTTTAATTGTATTGTTGCTTGACATTATTCGTTTCAAACGTTTAACTCGGTTGTTGTTAAATTTACTTTAATTGTATTGTTGCTTGACATTATTCGTTTCAAACGTTTAACTCGGTTGTTGTTAAATTTACTTTAATTGTATTGTTGCTTGACATTATTCGTTTCAAACGTTTAACTCGGTTGTTGTTAAATACTTTTTTACAATTTAGTTTAGTTTTAAACTCTGTATTGTTGCGCTCAGTTTTCACATCCAAAGGTTTTTGTGTTGCGTTTATCCTTAAATTGATTTGTTTTCTGGTTGATTTGATTTATAACAGTTTTGTAGTAACTGTTTTGCATCAGATGTTTCACGGCAACTGTGTCGTAGTAACTCTTTTGAAGATTTGTAGCAATCGTTTCATAGCAACTGTTTCGTAGTAACTGTTTCATAGCAACTGTTTCGTAGTAACTGTTTCATAGCAACTGTTTCGTATTATCTTTAAAGTTTGATATCGTGTAGGAGTTAAGATATGGTAAGCTTAGTAAATAATATTTGAAACTAGTTGTGTTGTTGTTTATTTTAGATACTCATTGCTTTGTACACTATACAATCGGTGTCTTTAGGGAGTCAATCCCTATATTATATATTAAGTGAAGGAGTAAGTAAAATAATCTATACACATAATAGTAAATTCTATTACACTCATTCGTAGGATAATTACTTTAAAAGACAAGAAGGTTTATTTAAAGCGATGTTTTAGACGTATACGTTTTATATGAAACGGCTACTTTCCTACGTAAACGTTTAAATGTATGTACTTAGTGGAGGTTGTGTCTTAGTCTAGGCATATATTTGCCCATTGAAATGCATTATATATACATATAAAATTATTTAACCCATGCATGGATATACAAAAAGCAAACAAACTAGAATATCTAAACAAATTAACATTTTTAAAAAAGGTAATAGGGATCGGAGGTCATAGCTTTTAAAGTAAAGTTAATTAACAAATCCCTATGTTGGCTGTTTCTATGTAGCAATAATAGCTAGCTAACAGCCAACTTTACAGGGATTTCTATTAGCAGTAATATTTACTGGTTCCATTACTTATAATAAGCCCCCCAGTGGCACAGCGACATGTCTGCGAACTTACAACGCTATAATCCGGGTTTCGATACCCGTGGTGGGCAGAGCACAGTTAGCCCATTGTGTAGCTTTGTGCTTAATTACAAACAAACAAAACTCATTATACATTCATACACTAACCGATATAAGTATTTGTAACCTCACATCACCTCCGATTCCTCGTGTAAAAAATGTTAATTTGTGTAAATATCTTACTTAGTTTGTGTTGTATCAAGTAGAAGTTCGATAGGTATATACTGTATATAATAGAAAAATGAAGATATGTAACTATTATTTGATGTATCTCTTTGATCTTCAATCTTATAAAAAAAAGGCCTAAACAAAATTCAACCAAATATTAAAGCCTCACTCTGCTGCGCTTGACATTATTTTTGTGTCATCTTCAAGATTTTATCTTTTAGTTTTTTCTCAACATCAAAGCAGCATTGAAAAAAAAAAAAGTTGTAAATGTAAAAGCATAATTTCCTTTCATTTTATTTGATTGGTTCTTGTGACAAATAACGCACTCCAGGGGGCGCCAACTCAATCTGTCTCACTGGAATGGAGAAAGTTATTATTAAAAAGAATCCTTTTTCTTGTTACTTCAGACAAAAATATGAGTTTTGAAAAAGGATGCGATTAATAAGTTTGCTGAAAGACGTTTTCATTGTAACTTTTGTGCCATTTAAAAGAGGTCAAAAGAATTCAAAGAAAGACACAGATTGATCGGTTTTCCCTCTTTCTTCAGACAAAACTGAACATTCATTGACTTGAACATAACACTGTATATTTTGTTCTCTATTAGGTTAAGACTATGCATATAACAAAATGGGGGACGTAAATAAATTTAGTCCCTCACCACCACCCGTTATATACGCTTACATTAATTTGTACTAATTGGTTTAGTTTAAGTAAGGTTTATCGAGCGTCATATTTCCTTGCTCTCTGATTTAATCTTGCAGTAACAAACTATTTTTCTCGTTCATCATAGACCACCATAAGTATTAGTAAATCTTAGTTAACTGTAGTTTTAAGAGTAAGAAGAAAAATCACACGTGACTGTAATAACCGTTCAAACTAATAGCACAAACACACACACACACATTTGTTTCCATCTTTAGAATGGCAGCTGGAATGGTCTGATAGCTGAAGTTATAAGAGGCAAGGCAGACTTAGTCGTGACCAGCATTAAGATCAATTCGGATAGACAAACGGCAGTTGATTTCACGGTGCCCTTTCTGGAGACAGGAATAACCATCGCTGTATCCAAACGCACCGGTATCGTTTCTCCGAAAGCCTTTCTCGGTGAGGAGCCATATAGTTGTTCTATAAGAATATGTATGTATTTGGTATTTAATTATTCAAAGTAGTGTAATTAGCAACACGAGACAAAATTGAAATAACCATACACGAAGAGTTTTAAATAGCTCAGTATTTAATAAAGTTAGGATAACTCAAGTAATAAGTCAGTTATTGTTTACAAGCATTAAGTTCCGTTATACCAGAAAACTCCATATTAGTAGTGTTCGTTGTCATGGTTACTAACCTATATTGTTACCTAACTCTAAGCATTGGGAATTTTTTTAGTTAATAGCAGTTAATTGCTGACAAAAGTAGACCATCTAAAGTGTTCCTTGGAATACGATTATTTCATATCAAAACGATCTAAAGTATTCCTTGGAATACGATTATTTCATATCAAAACGATCTAAAGTATTCCTTGGAATACGATTATTTCATATCAAAACGATCTAAAGTATTCCTTCGAATACGATTCTTTCATATCAAAACCATCTAAAGTATTCCTTGGAATACGATTATTTCATATCAAAACGATCTAAAGTATTCCTTGGAATACGATT